TTCAACTTTACTAGAGACAAGATATCCAACTTTACTAGAGACAAGATATCCAACTTTACTAGAGACAAGATATTCAACTTTACTAGAGACAAGATATTCAACTTTACTAGAGACAAGATATTCAACTTTACTAGAGACAAGATATTCAACTTTACTAGAGACAAGATATTCAACTTTACTAGAGACAAGATATCCAACTTTACTAGAGACAAGATATTCAACTTTACTAGAGACAAGATATCCAACTTTACTAGAGACAAGATATTCAACTTTACTAGAGACAAAATATCCAACTTTACTAGAGACAAGATATTCAACTTTACTAGAGACAATATATCCAACTTTACTAGAGACAAGATATTCAACTTTACTAGAGACAAGATATTCAACTTTACTAGAGACAAGATATTCAACTTTACTAGAGACAAGATATCCAACTTAACTAGAGATAAGATATCCAACTTTACTAGAGACAAGATATTCAACTTTACTAGAGACAAGATATTCAACTTTACTAGAGACAATATATCCAACTTTACTAGAGACAAGATATTCAACTTTACTAGAGACAAGATATTCAACTTTACTAGAGACAAGATATTCAACTTTACTAGAGACAAGATATTCAACTTTACTAGAGACAAGATATTCAACTTTACTAGAGACAAGATATTCAACTTTACTAGAGACAAGATATACAACTTTACTAGAGACAAGATATTCAACTTTACTAGAGAGAAGATATTCAACTTTACTAGAGACAAGATATCCAACTTTACTAGAGACAAGATATTCAACTTTACTAGAGACAAGATATCCAACTTTACTAGAGACAAGATATTCAACTTTACTAGAGACAAGATATTCAACTTTACTAGAGACAAGATATCCAACTTTACTAAGACTATTCAACTTTACTAGAGACAAGATATTCAACTTTACTAGAGACAAGATATTCAACTTTACTAGAGACAAGATATCCAACTTTACTAGAGACAAGATATTCAACTTTACTAGAGACAAGATATTCAACTTTACTAGAGACAAGATATTCAACTTTACTAGAGACAAGATATTCAATTTCATAATACAGAAGATTGTAAACATCGCCAGAGAAAAGAAATTCATCTTCGCAAGTGACAAGATATTCGACTTCATATTCATCCTAACAAGAGAAGATATTCAACTTCACAAGAGAAATTCTATTCAGGTTCACAGGTAACAGAGTATTTCACTCCACTAGAGATAAGATTTTCAAGTTCACAAGTGACAAGATATTCATCTTCTACGCACGAATGAAAGATACAAAAAAAGATATTAGACTAATAAATGAACTCTTTTTCGTGGACACTTTTCACTCCTCATAGATAAAGTTCATTGTTTAAAAAATCAGTAAAAATATATAAAAACAAAATTAAATTTCAACATAAAATTTATTTCATATTCACATCGAATTTGTTACTAATTCAAGTCACTAACAGACCCCATTTGTTGTAAAAAGTTCTGAGAAAGTTTAACAATAATCTTCTATAACAAGTTACTACGCGGCTGAAAAAATGGAGACAACCTAGGCACTCTCTGTCACTGTCTCTCTATTTTCAGGACTTTCGGTTGGGATTGGGACTGACCTCTGATAAGGTGATTCGGTCACTGAGTTGCATTTCTTCCTGGTCTTTTTGTACCGGGCTTGATGATTTGTCAATTTATCATGATGATCTTTATACTCTCTTTTCATTGGTGTAAGTCTGCAAAGGTGTTATTTACAAATGGAAATTCTGACGAAAACGAACATACAGGATGCTAGATTTATACAAGTTGTCTCCCTTGTCATCGCTTTCCACAGAGATCTTATACATACGAAATAACTATATGTTCCAGGGAAATTCTAATTCTAAATTCTAAATGATCAACATGTGACTGATCATATTTGAAATGGACTTTCCATTGAATGTTTTGCGACAATTAATCCAAACAGTTTTAGGAAAACCAAACAAACTGTTGTTGACAGATGCTTATAGATAATTATGACATAATGGTACATTGTATTTGTAGGTTACAATAATATTTAAATGTATATTTCATTGTTTCAGATCATTGTTTTACTGTAAACATGTATATACATTGTATTACCGGTACTCTTAATCTAGTCTTTTTATGGGTAAGACAGGATTTCGCTACTTGCAGTTTCTGTACTTTTGTACTTTGTCTTTTTAACAATAATTGTGGATCCGCTAATTCATCACTGAGTAAATTTGCCAAAAGACAATATTACTAAATTATAAACGTGGATTTAATATAAAAAAGAAATACACCTGATCAAACGACGTGTCCTACAGAAGTACACCTGGTCGGACGACGTGTCCTACAAAAGTACACCTGGTCGGACGACGTGTCCTACAGAAGTACAACTTGTCGGACGACGTGTCCTACAGAAGTACACCTGGTCGGACGACGTGTCCTTCAGAAATACACCTGGTCGAAGACGTATTAAACACAAACACACCTGATTGGACGACGTGTCCTACAGAAGTACACTTGGTCCGACGACGTGTCCTACAGAAGTACACCTGGTCCGACGACGTGTCCTACAGAACTACACCTGGTCCGACGACGTGTCCTACAGAACTACACCTGATCTGACGACGTGTCCTACAGAAGTACACCTGGTCGGAAGACGTGTTAAACAGAAACATACCTGATTGGACGACGTGTCCTACAAAAGTACACCTGGTCGGACGACGTGTCCTACAGAAGCACACCTGGTTGGACGACGTGTTCAACAGAAGTACACCTGGTTGGACGACGTGTCCTACAGAAGTACACCTGGTTGGACGACGTGTTCAACAGAAGTACACCTGGTTGGACGACGTGTCCTACAGAACTACACCTGGTCCGACGACGTGTCCTACAGAACTACACCTGATCTGACGACGTGTCCTACAGAACTACACCTGGTCGGAAGACGTGCTAAACAGAAACATACCTGATTGGACGACGTGTCCTACAAAAGTACACCTGGTTGGACGACGTGTCCTACAGAAGTACACCAGGTTGGACGACGTGTTCAACAGAAGTACACCTGGTCGGACGACGTGTCCTACAGAAGCACACCTGGTTGGACGACGTGTTCAACAGAAGTACACCTGGTCGGACGACGTGTCCTACAGAAGTACACCTGGTCGGACGACAGAAGTACACCTGCTTGGACGACAGAAGTACACCTGGTCGGACGACAGAAGTACACCTGGTCGGACGATATGCTAAAGTGCTATCTACTGTAGATACGATACTGAGACTCGAATTGTCCAATGAAATATCCAAGTACCATGGTAGCACAGATCATAGTAGTCATAATAGTCACATCATGTATACAGATAGCAAGGAATATTCGGAAACTAACATGGCACCGGATGTGATTTAAAAACATCAAATATATCTTATCCCTAGGAATTTATTCAACTGTTTTATCATAAAAGATGTTTGAGATGCCCGACACACAAACAGGTTAAAAAGCGATATCTAATCAAATGAACTTATAATGAAAACAGAAAACGGTTTATTTACATTTCCTTCTATTACACATTTTTAACAAGTGAAACGTCCGTGTTTACTTCCCATTAGCGTCCGCGCCTTTAAATACCAGTCTGTCTTTTGTATATTTCGAACTTATATTGAACTCAGACATTTAAAAATTTTTATAAGAGATTGTGTGAATGACATATCAACTGTCCTGTAGAATAAGAGTATAAGAGTGATATTCATACAACAGAATAAGCTCGCTCAGTTAATTTGCAGAACCGCCATCTTGTATTTTGAATCTATTAACAAGATATAGTAGGAGAGAGAACGGGTGCATTTTTTAAATAGACGGGAAACATTTCCATTGGCTAATCATAACACCTTACACCGTTCTGTATGCATAGTGATGTAGAAAATAATCATTATTTTTCGAGGTTCCCGCGAGAGTTACAAAACTGAAAAGGCACTAGTGCTATATATGTAATGATGGACGTCATGATACACATTGGCATGATATCACAATTTACGATTACTTGGGCCGAAATTATCAGGTTGTATTTTTCGAGACCAGGGAGTTTTACCGTATGTGATATACAATACCGACTTTATATTTCTAGATTCCGAAAACAATATAGGGTCAAAGTTCGACGTCAGATAAAACAATTGGCGGTATCCCTGACAACACTGAAAGGCGAAATGTAATCTGCTTTGTATCCCTTTTACAGAGGTGTCATTTGGGTACCACAATGCACTCTGTGAGAAATTTGAGCTGCCTTAGTTTCAACGAGCGCAGTCTAGTGGTGAAAAGTTGTAGTTAAGGAAGGTAACCAAGCCTATTGTATAAGGGGCCAACAAAGGGGTTATCACACTGGGCACTGGTAATAGTTATGAACAATGAAACACATATATTTTGTAGATGTGACTGACGAATTCATTTTTGCATTCTTACAAGTGCAATTGTCGTTTAAATAACATCCCCATCGTGCATTAAACTGCATTGGCATTATTTTACAAGTAAAAGGAAATTAAGGTTTTCTCTACATCTCATACTGAATACAGAGTCACAACAATTGAGAAAAATGTATTTGTACCGGCGTCCCCCTTGTTTTCATGATTGCACCTTTCACGTTTTGATGACGTTAAAAACATTTTAAGGTCTTTTCCTAATAAAAATTAACGAGTTGAGTGGGTATAATTCTCCATATGTGGGGGCTACAATGCGTCCTGTCAATTTGGCAACTGAGTTTACACCTTCGTACAATCACCAAATAGTGAACTGATGTCAATACATGGAACATATGCTTTCAGAATCTCGCAAAATACAAGGGTGTTTAACATTTCATTAAACATTAAAAACTAACATTCCATTTATTTCATTTTTTCGTTTTTGATAATCATGTCAAAATTATAAAGTAAGATCTTCAAAATCCTAAATCAGACGAAATGAAGTACAAACAACGGTCACAAATAGATGCCAGGATTTATAAATGGGAACCCACGCCAAGAACAAGTAAAAAGAAGAAGGTGAACACTATGGTCATGGCGAGGAAAAGAACGAACCAAAACCTATCGAACAGGAAACTGATTTCTTTACAGGACAGATTAACATCTTCTTCCTCTTCCTTCGTGTTTTTGTCGAGGTCTTCCCAAGCAGCAGTCACGGTTTTGTGTCCTGTATTCACGTCTTCATTTTCGATAATGTCTCGCCGAGAGTCCGTCCGGTTGTCCTGATATTTCTGCTTACAACTGCATCTTAAGAGGACCTTCTTTGTAAAATTCTTCAGCCACTTTGGAACGTCCAACTGGTCTTCTTTGTGATACAGGCGTAAGTTCAGGGACGTCAGGAAGACGGAGAGTGTTGAGAAGGTCAGGATACACATGATGTAAATTGCTGCAACGTAAAATTGAGAGTAGATTAACATTTTCGACATTAGATGATAAACTTATCTGATTAATTATTGATTGAGCAATCGATTATTCATTTACAGGACCTCTATGACCCTTATGAATCTCTTAGACCCGTGCACATCTAATTAATGAATATCGATTATGTACAATGTGCCTTAATTAATGATTCGCATGTGACGTCTAAAATTGACACATTAATGCACATTAAGAATCTGCACGTGATGAGCAGTTTCAAGTCTGACTCATTTTTGGTTTAAGAGCATCAACAAAATGTATTTCCATTTTTATAATAATCTGCTTGTGGCTGTTATTCTGATATACGAAAACTCCATGTATTCTACGGTTTAATATGTGCTAATGTGGATCTATAAACAATTAAACAAAACTCTTACACAGAATTGATGTGTGTATTGATGTTGTTGGCATAATATCAGAAATAAGTGTCAACAGCAGCGCCAAAGATAACAAGACGGTAATGCTGAACGAAATTCTCTCCCCTGATTCCACCGGAAGTATGAATACAAGCGTTGTCAGGAACGAGATCAAGACTACCGGGAATATCATATTCATAAAGTAATACGTCGGCCTTCTAGCTAAGTGGACAATGAACTCTAGTTGAGAATATCTGCTCCCGTCAGCTGTCAGTTCATTCCAGGCGATTGCAGTTCCTTCGATGATCCATTCGCCATTTTGTTTATAATCCTCCAAATTGATATTGGTCTTGTGGTGCGACAGATTCACCACGTCTATTGTATAGCCCCAGCTTGTCAACTGTGAAATAAAACAAATAATTATCATAAAATTCATATCCCACATTAACGAGTGTTTTATGGCATTTTTTCTACTGGTATAGTTCTTCAATGGTTGTGTTTAAACAAAAATGTTAAAAATGAATAGATATATGAATATTTTGTAAATAATATAAAGGCATGCATGGAGAAATAATTGGTAACTATATCTAATCCACTGTAAATTCTTGTTGTGTCTTTAAGCAAATAATTTTTTTATTACAACAAAGATACAGCTACCCATAGATAATGTTCACAAAGATTTGGCATGTAGGCAGAATTCTGCTAAAAGCGTAAAAATATATATACAAAGCAGGGATATATGTTACGTTATATAGTTAGAAGGACATTTTTAATTAACCCCTCCTCCACAAAAAACAACCAAGATAAAAAGGGAAAACATAATAATAATATTTATCATCTGAATTTAAAGTATGGAACATTCTATAAAATTCTTTACCTATTTTTGTTTCACGACGATAAACGAGTCGATCGCCATCTATATAACTCATTTTTCATTGACTTGCGAAAGAAAAATTCTGACTATATAAATACACGTCTCTTACCTCTACGTAGCAAGTCTGTCGATCAAATGGGAACCACGTGATGTCGACCTCACAGTGCGTGTCGTATATCCCAGGAGGTTCCCACTTTACGTGGCCGTTACTGTCTACACGGTACAATAAGTTTTCGTCTGATATTATCGATATCTGGCTTATCCTAAATACGATAAAAAAAGGACAAAAATATTAATCCCGAAGCTCTGAAATAAAGATAGAGTATTCAGATTTTAACAGCTAAGTTTTTTTTTTCAAATTAAATATTGATGAAAAAAGGATAAGATTTCCCAATAATTGGAATTCCTTTCTCCTAAATTTCATGAGACAGAATTTCGAGCAAATATACATCTCCAATGTTGAAAATTAATTTTATTCAGCACATCGGAGAGACTATCTTATAAATTTGCAATGATTAAACAAGAGGATAAAATTTTGTCAGATACAAATAACATCAACTTATACTCACGAGTTATCTACCACTAGTTCCGGTTTCCAGATAATGTTTTCGTTGGCGTAGACGAAGGAGACATTTTCATTAGCAGAAGGTGTCCACGTTAGTCTGCTGTCGGTCCAGAACTAATAAATTAAACAAACCAATATTTTGTCAAAGCAGATCGACTAAATTCTATCAAGTTGTGCATTTATTTTTTTTACACTATTCGACCAAATGTGTATATTTGAAAGTTACACTCTGTAACCAAAGTTGTATATTTAAAATTAACACTCTATGACCAAAGTTGTATATTTAAAATTAACACTCTATGACTAAAGTTGTATATTTAAAATTAACACTCTATGACCAAAGTTGTATATTTAAAATTAACACTCTATGACCAAAGTTGTATATTTAAAATTAACACTCTATGACCAAAGTTGTATATTTAAAATTGACACTCTATGACCAAAGTTGTATATTTAAAATTGACACTCTATGACCAAAGTTGTATATTTAAAATTAACACTCTCGGACCATTATACTTGAACACGGAAGTTGGCGAGGAAAGAAAATGTGTGTATTGTCAGTTCACTTTGTTCAGAACAATCTTTGACAAGACTTTACTAAAACAACATAGCTTTTTAACGTGTACTCACATTTAAACCAATGTAGTAAAGTGAATAATGATGTGTCGTCATGGCGACTATGTTACGACACTATACTTCCTCATATTTGACAAAAATGTGTTTAATTATTTGTATATCATATTCAACCACGGTTAAATATATAATAAAACACATTTCCTTTTGGGGTGTAAACTTGGTATATAATTCTCTGTTTCAAAATGCATAAAATTACACAACTAGATTTCAAACACAGAACGGATTTAATATCATACAACGGTTTTATTTCGGAAGGGTTTATTTTCTCGTGATTCAAAGTCTCAAAAAAACTTTCGATTATATTTTTTATAGCTTCGTTAAGAATGAAATCTGTTGGTTCTATGACAGAGCTTATCAATTTTCAGTCAATAAATTAAGTCAATAATTATTAATACAGACAGATATGTACGGCTGTAAATCATATTGACTTACCATTGTGAAAAATCCAGCTGTTGAAAATTTCTGTTGTTTTAGATTCTGAAAAAGTAACGGTTCTTTTGTTTCATGTTTGCCAATACAATTTCCTTTTTATTTGCATTCAATTTATAGTTCATGTTAAATAATGTTTGCTCAATCAATTATGCAATCGACTTTTATTCAAAGACACATGATATGTAGATCATATCGCTAAGCAAATATTTGACATTAACACCGTTGGTTTGGTTGAGAGGACTGTCTGAGTGTAAGGGTATGTTTACAGATCCAATAAGACTTTGATGTTATGACTATATTATGATCTGGTCCAAGAATTCGTTCTATGACTTGATGGAAAGTGGGAGACCAATGTGTATACGTAATTGTAATTATAACTACAAATCGATATAACAAAGTGTAAACAAAGAAAATCTCATCCATAAAAAACTTTTTCTGTGACGTCATTCTATCGTTGATGAAATATGAAGGAAATACCAACATATTAACATTATCATAAACTCAATTTCAATAAAAGTAGGGCAAAATAAAGATTTAACGGAGACTCCTGAAAATGTTAAGGAAAATAAGACCAGGTGTTCCGGAAGAGTAAGTGTATTCTGCTTCATCCGCCATGTAAATCTTGGTCAATCCAAGCAAGCTATATCCCGTACTCAAATGAGAACAAGGTATACAACAACAGAACCAAAATGTTAACTGACGAGCATTAAATACGTCCAGCTTCATAGTGCACAAAGAATTAGAATATTTCTAAATAAGATCACTATGACGACCATGAAACTTCCTCATAATTTTCATCAACTTGCATCAGAAACAAACCAGAACATTTTGTATCTATGAGTAAGTTTGATATCCAGAAAATCTCAATAAAGATAATGGCAGGAAGATTAATCATTGCATTCCTCGTTTATACCATTGCATCTTCGGAGTTAAGATGTAATGATGCAGTGTACATTGTCCTTGGACAGACTATTATTATTTTGCATATAAATCATCAATCAAGTTCATCGTAAAACAAACAAAAAAAAAACTGAAAATAAGATACTCTTAAAAGAAGACTGAAAATCAGGTACTGTGATAAAAACGATTGAAAACTTGATACTTTGTAAAAAAAAAAAAAAAAACAGAAAACCTGATATTCTGATATAAAGACTGAAAACTTGATACTTTTTCAAAAAGACTGGAAACCAGATATTCTGATAAAATAGTAATATTATAATCATAATAATATTTCAACACATTTCTGTCCATTTTCATATCAATTACTGTATTTACCGCATGTCATAGCATTGCTCTACTGATATCGTAAATAAAACACATTTAGGTACAGAACAGGTCAATCTATTGTCATAATAGCTGTATAGAATTATAGATAAACGCCGATACTGAATACTGACCAAGTCATTGATGCTGAGTAATATAAACTCCACTTCCACTGTTACGACATCTGATGGCCTGACCAGTTTGTTGTAGCCTGTCCATAAGTTTGTGTGGACGGAATTGGCCCCATTTACCGTAAAACTGTGGACACTCCCAACTGTAACAGAGAGCATACCAATAATTAAAATAGTGTTTAGGCAATCATATTTACACAATGGGAAAAATCTGAGACAGATCTGAGTCCTTATATACTTATATCCATTTTCGGACTTAAAACGTACCAAGCGAAAATTACATACAGAGTTAAACATCTGACCTGCTGACAAACAATCGAAGCTGTATATCCTATTAACATCAGATACATGTTTTTTAACTTTTCTGACGAACGGTATATGATTATGATGTTACTTGAATCTTCAATTACTTCCGCTCGACAGAAAGCTCGATTATCTCTCTGCTCAATGTAAGTGTTCCTGTTGCCCACTCGTCACACGACCTTCAACAAATGTCCAAGGTCAGCTACTTTGTAAAATCGTTGATCAAAACTCTCGTTTTGCGTTACATTTACCCGATTTTAAGTGGATGGTTTGTGTAATTCCTGAAGCTGGTGATAACAGGAGCAATAAGAACTGTGCTGTTTCAGAATTCAATATTTCTATTAAGCATGTCTCTCTAGTGAGGTGACAATTCCTATGTGTGCGTTTCTTATTGTACGAAACATATTAACGGGAAGTTAAATACAACTACAAGACGATGACCCGAGATCGCAATGCCGGCTTCTTGATGGACCTTTCAAAGATGTAAAAAAAAAAACTATCAAACAGCATGTATAACTCACGGGAAGATGCTAATTAGCTGATAATTATGGTTGCAATGCAGATTTGGTAAAATGCTTGAATTAGGATATAATGGGAAAAATTTGCTCCATTAGGCTATAAACAGTGCTTTCTGAGTTAGTCAACTTCAATCCTATACTATGTTGTTGTCAACAGTTTCTCAAAAATACTTAAGAAAGTTCAATACATGAAAGATTAAATATATAATGCATTCTATGTAAAAAAAAATATGATGTCTTCGTCATCAAAAGCTACAAGACATTAGTTTTTAATCCAGATATCAAACTGTACGAAACGAAGGTAAAGTAAAAGCAAACGAAAGATTACCACTGAATTCCTTATAAGTCTAATCAAGCCAGAGGTTTTGGAAGGGTAAGCGTCTCCTACTTCATAGGCTACACCCGACTCTCCGATTCGTCATTCCAAGAGTAACCATGGAAACTTCAAACTTTTTAATGAATACCTATTCCCTTAGTAAACCAGTCGATTTTAATCTGGACAACATGTTCCTCTTGGAATTCATGACATTGGATAATGTTATATAAGGTTTATGTCTATAATAATTATGTCATTTTCATACCATGTTTCTAACAATTAGGTCAACGTTTCTTAATGGTTGGATGTTATGAGGATATGTATGAAACTTTTTAGCCGTTGAAAACAAAGCAGACAAATCTAATCTTCATGAAGATAATAATCTTCATACTTCATGAATTTGTCCTCTGTAAAATTGGTGCCAAAATAGGAACCTTGGAGGTATTGGCGGAAATACTAAGTCTTGTTTCCCGGATATAGACACACAAATACAGGAAAAAATTTCATCATAAATTCTAAGCTGGATACGAAAGAGTCAACTTATTAAGTAAATAGCATCGTACACTTGTTTTGTCCTCCTAGGAATCGTCAGTGATGGAAATGGTCTCATTTGTTGAAGCAAACATTGCTTTTATACTTGAGTTCTTTCATGGAGGGAGAATTTGATACCCAGTAAATAATAGTCGCTTGGTTAGAGAAAACATTGATTGGCTGAGCGTAAAACTAGTAAGTCAGAGATTCATGATGCTGTCCCTAGCCGAGACATAATGGCTGTAACACAAGCAACAATCAGACATACTAATGAACATCGCATACATTTAAGCTCATTTAATATTTTTTTTATTTTCCATTCAAACACAGATTTACCGTGTCGTTCATGTTGTTTCATTATAAACCATCATTGACCTCTTTCTCAAACACACATGAGACACCTAACTATCTTATTAATTACTTTTCGTTTGTCTCCATAAAATATAGGCCACCGATGTTTGCAAAAGATATTCGATATTAACTGATTGATTTATTTTTATCAATGATGAGTATTGTGTTACACTCGTTATTGTAGTGACGGACTTGTCTAAATGAATGATATTGATTAGTGCTAGGCTATTAGACCCCAGTATAAATGAGACCATTTTGTTCTGTATCTATCTAATTTACTAATAGATAAATTAATTGCGGATATGTTTGAAATATAATTTCTATGTGTATCCTACTTGGTAAAACATCATTTGTGTTTAAGAGTTTAAAATGTCTTCTTTGAAATCGATCTTTACTCGTTACTTATAGTTATTTATATTCACCCTCCCTTTGGACCCGAATGAGCACACAATTATTTCTAATGAGTGTGTGCAAAAGACGCTTATCCTTCCTGAACACCTGGTCATAATTCTTCCTTTGTACTTTTTCATGAGTCTCGATGTAAATCTTGTTTTGTTTTTTGCCCTATTTTCGTCGATTTAAGCATGAATTAAATTTTTGTATGTTGCTTTTTACTTCATTTTCAATCATATAAATAAATGACGTTATAAACAAACAGAACGTTCAAATAAGAGTGACTGGATGTTCAATAATAATGATAACAACAATAATACTAATAGGCTGTATTTCATGAGGATTCAAGAACCTGTTAAGCCGAGGTTAATCTTCCACAGGCTTTTCTTAATAGTAAAACATGGTTTATGTTAAAATACATTATTGTTCAAAACAAAAATTATTTTCATACATTTTTCACAAATAAATAATTAGGAATATCAAAGAATGCACAAAAGTTCGTAGAAATGTTTTCATCGTTAAAGGACAATTTGTCTATTATACATGATATAGGAAAGTGTAAAAAGTGACATAGGTATACACTGATATAGCATAGAAACATTACTGGTATTGGAAAGGAAATCTAAAACTTAGTTCGTTTAGAATTCAAATAATATCACTCTAGATTTTGTTTGAACATAGAAAAAATGTTTCAGTTTTGATTTCATTGGAAGTTTCTTCCATACCTGACAACAAGATACATAAAATAGCGAGTTGTCTTGTGTTTTGGAACCAATACATTTTTACTAGATACGTGCCTTCAAACTCTTCAAACCTAAAACGGCTAAATGACCATGTATCATCCCCTCCATCATCACATTCGAACAGATGTCACGAAAAAAGCAACTAAAATTACAACACTATTATAACTGCTTATTGCAATGAAACCTCTTGCATAATACAGATTCAAGGAAAATCAGAATACAATTCCCTTCCATCAACCTCATTTGTCCTGAAACATTTCTAATAAACTAACATCATGGAGTATTTATCCAGGATAATGGTCCTGATCTCTACAATATGTAATACTCATTAAACTGTAAGGACGACAAATCTAGACTTATGGATATTTTTAATCAATGAGATATTATAAAATCATATTAGTACGACTCTCCATTATTCCAGATTTTCTAAATTCTCTGAATGTTTGAGAGATCATAAAATCATATTAGTACAACAATCCATTACCCTAGATTTTCTAAATACTCAGAATGAATGAGATATAACCAAATCCGATTAGTTCGATAACCATTACCATAGATTTTCTAGATATTCTTCCCAAAGTCATGTCATTACTGCTGTCTATTAAACCGTAGTCAGATTTAATAACTGATATACTTAATCACCCACCCCTCCCCATCCCCCGATTCTTCATTGTTCAATATGTATCCTATATCAATAATTAATGGTAGAATGATGTGGAGTGGAAATACGTCTCTATCTTAGATATAGAAATCTGACGCTTATTGTTTGTCCTATTTTTTATTACCTATTTAGGTGCCGTCATGATTGCAGCATTTGTACTTAACATTAGGACTCTCTAGATATTTATAGTTTCTCGTTAATTATAACAGTCAATTGAAAACTAGTGAAAGCGCACAATAAGGGTATTAAGTATGAAAGACACGTTAATTGATCTATAAGAGATTTTTATATTCATTATTCGAATAATATATTTACTTAATTTTGTTGACACAGCATGACATGCGCAGAAAGTCTCTCCAGTACATCTTCACTATTGAAAGTGTTTATGATGACGTCAGTACTGCTGATTCCGGTTATTGATTGACATCAGATTTAAAAAAAACATTATATTGGTATTAATAATGTGATGACGCTGAAGCTGATCTTTTTCGTAAAAGATATTCCACACTCCTTTCTTGACAAACATTTTGTAAAATGCATTCAAAGCTGAATGATAACAAAACTCCAATGTGTCATTACACGCACAATATTTACATAAGAAATGTAACTGGAATGAAATCTATTGTGCATTCTGTACATTTGATCGTTTGTATCAATCCCTGTTAACATAATTTGCCTGTACTAAAACCACTGTAAACTACTGTTATCAATAATGTTTTTACCCATTAATGATAGCCCATCACTGATCAAATGTCATTCTGATTGCTGATTCTAATCGGTTAAAAAAATCCCTAAATTTGCCTGCTGGTTAATTCTTCAAAATAAATCCGATATCACCGTTCTTACGCGCACTAGAGAGTGCAGCGCCCCCTATAAAGTATATGATGAATGTGTTATGGTCGCTCTGCATCCTAGGTAAGATATTAGGTTTTAGGGCTAAATATTAATATGTATATTGTACAATCGAAGATAGAATAACGACCACCTGTACATAAAACGTCTTTAAATCTCACAGGCTTCAGGTCACTATTAATGTAATCTACATGTCTCATTTAAACTCAAATAATGGCACAATTTAGAACACACACATGTACCTATACGTCGTTCTTCTGAAATCTTCGAAATTTATTGAAGTATGAGGCTATTTCACTGTCCCATTTAGATTTTCTTTCGTTCACCTTGGATAATCATCATTCGGCTTTGGGGTTTAAAAATGTAGGCCCGTAGTATCACTGACGAGTTCTAGAAGGACAGCTGTATGATGCAGTTAAATCAATTATCTCTTCTACATATAATTCTATATAAGTTTGTCTGTTTGTTCCGTTGTTGTTTACCTTGTTCTCATTTGAGAACGTGACATTACTTACTTTGATTGAACACTTTTTACATCGCGGGTGTCGTCGATGAAGCAGAAGATGCTTACTCTTCCGGT